ATCTTTCAGGATAACCCACTAAAGTGATTTCTTAACTTTTTTTTTTTTTTTTTTTTGGTAGAATCTAGGCACAGAGAGCATATCTAAGACAATAATGACAGTGTCACTAACGAATCATGTTCATTTTTATATGAAGTGATCAAAAAAAGAGAAGGATATTTAAGTCAATATATTTCTTTGGAAAGGATGTTAGTTGACTGATTTAGTAGATTCAGGGGTTAAGTGATTGATTTGAGGATAGATATTTTTAAGCCCATGATTAGTGATCATTGATTTTTTTTTTAATTTCATGTTATCCTTTCTTCAAATATCGCGTATACAGTGGAGTGGATGAGGTCCACAAGATAATTAATGATCTATTGCCCAGTGTAAATTTGTTAAACTGAGACCCAAAACAAATAAAACATGTAATATATTGAATCTATCTCATGGGCCACTATGAAGCCCATTTACTGATTTCGGGAGAAATGTTTTGGTAACATTTATTTACTATTTTTTTAGTCAGAGAATAAATGTTTTGGTAACATTTATTTAGTAGACTTTTTATCCCTTGAATTCATCTTTGTTGTTTGCAAGTTTTAAATTTTTTCAATTTCAGGGTATTTTTTTTGTTATTTGAGCTTTTGAGGGTGTTTCTATAATTTTTAAAACATTGAGGATGTTAATTGTAAATTTTAAATTCTTAGGAGGGTGCTGTTAATTTTTAAATTTCATGTTTGTTGTTTTAAGTTTTAAAACCTCTTTTGAGGATAGTTTGTATAATTTTTGAAACTTTTAGATTTTTTTATAATAATTCATATAATAACACGTTAGTTCCTTACCTTAACAAATTAATACCGTGAAGCGGTTTCATATATCTTATTAATCTTATTTTTTAAAAATTATTGAGCTGTAGATAGCTCACACGGGTTTAGATTAGGACATAATTATGATTAAGATATATTAAGATTTAAATGAAATATTGAAAATAGTGGAGGGTGATATTGACCATGCAAAGTTTTTCCCGACTCGTACATTTAAGCGAGTATGACTAGGGTGAATACCATGATTAATTATTTTTAATTTATTTTCATGCTAAAATTTATTTTTTAGTTCTACTTTGATGGTTTTTGCTCACTTGTGTCTCTAAACTTTAGCATTGCGATTATTTATTTTCTTTGATATTAACTTAAATGAGCTACACACAGTTTAAATTTTTATGTTGATAAGTGAATTGACAGAAAATAAATATAATATGTAGTCAATTTGAGTTATCATATTATTTGGATCGACATGAAATTAAGCTTGACCTGAGAGTGTATAGTATTGCAAAAGTATAAAAAATACTTGAAAACATAGTGTTATAAAAAGAATATGCATAATTAAAGCTAATAAGACAAGACGATTGGTTAAAAGTAGGCTTAAATGACACAAAAGAGAATATGGAGTTTGTTCCTAATCTTTGATAGACGTTTAAAAACATCATAAAGATTAATACTAATTAAAGTAAACTTTTATATGATGAAAGCATCCACATAAGCATAGAAAAGTACTATAATGAGTTCTTAAAAGTCTCTTATAAAGAATCCTAATTTACTCAAAAAATAAACTATTTTATAAAATATTTAGAAAATATTGTCTTTCATCCCTTCTGTTTCATTTTTTATTATGTTGGTATTAATCATTCTTCACCTTTATCTTTTTCGATAAAATTAGACTACTTTTAGATGATGAAAAAGGATCGTAAACCTTAAATTGGAAGTTAAATTTATATACTCTTTTCTTTGCTAAGTTTTAAAATTTTAGTCTTTTTGTGACTTTGAATTTTTTGACGGTGCGTTTTACAAATTTTAAAACTTTGAGAGTGCTTTCTAAAAATTTTAAATTTTAAGTTGGGTGCTTGTAATTTTTATGTTTCATGTGTTGGTGATAAGTTTTTGAATGTTAAGATGTATCTTGCAACTCTAACATTTTAAGGGTGTTTTTTTCAATTATTGAAACTTTGGACTATTTTTTCAATTTAAATTTTCAGCGGTCTGCTAGTAATTTTTAGATTTGATATGCAATTGTTATAAGTTTTTAAAATTTTAACATTTTTTGTGATTTTAACTTTTAAAGGAGTTTTTTGTATTTTTTATAACTTTGAGTTTTTTTTTTATAAATTTTAAATTTTCAAGCGCCTAATGGTAATCCCTTGAATTCATTTTTATTTTTTTGCAAGTTTTAAAATTTTAAAATTTTTGGGTACTTTTTTATTATTTGATCTTTTGAGGGTGTTCTACAATTTTAAACGTTGGAGATGTCAATTGCAAATTTTAAATTCTTCGGAGGTTGCTGGTAATTTTCAGATTTCATGTTTATTATTTGATCTTTTGAGGGTTTTTCTACAATTTTAAACGTTAGAGATGTCAATTGTAAATTTTAAATTCTTCTGAGGCTGCTGTTAATTTTTCAGATTTCATGTTTATTATTTTAAGTTTTGAAGCCTCTTTAGAGGGCGTTTTGTGTAATTTTTGAAATTTTTTGGATTTTTTATAATACTTCATATATTATAGCATGTTAGTTTCTTACCTTAACAAATTAATATCGTGAAGCAGTTTCTTGTATTTTATTAATCTTATTTTTTAAAATTATTTAGCTGTAAGTAGCTCATATGAGATTAGAACAAGATATAATTATGATTAAGATAGATTAAGATTTGAATAAAATATTTAAAATAATAGAGAGTAATATTGACCATGCAAAATTTTTCTCAACCCGTACTTTTAAGGAGAGTAAGATATGATATAATTTTTATATTTCTACTAGCATGATGTACATATGTGAGTCGGTGCATTGACATTCGATGAACAACGCATTCATAAATTATCATTATACTTATATAAGATAGCCTTCATAAGGGGGGTTAGTCACCTAGAACTTAAAATTAGAACTGGAATAATCTGTGGGATAAATTTTTAAGGTGTTAGTCACATAGAACTAAAACTAGAACAAAATTTTACAGTGTTAGTCAAGTAAAACTCTAACAAAACTAGAATTAGGATAATGGTACAAAATTATCCTACTTTTTTTATTTTTCTATACAAAAATGAGAGTTCTATCCTCTCAAATTATTCCAAGTTTTAGCTTGGAACTACGTGGTAAAAAACTAGAACTCATATTTATTTTGTTATTTTTTATTTTTTATATTTTTTTCCTCTACTTTTTTCCTATTATGGTTATCACCATCATTAGACCATCATTATAATAATAATTATCAATATTTTATAGTCAAACCAAAAGTTATTTAATAGTAAATAACATTCTTGTAAGCAATTATTAATCTATAATAGTAAGTTTAAAATACATAAATAGTATTTATATCTTCAAAATACATAAATATATGTTTCATGATTATAAAAATTTATCTCACGTAATCTTATCAAAATATCTCGCTTCATAAAATTGTTTTTATTTATCCTACTAAAATATCTCACTAGCGAAAAATTATTCTATTTTAACAATTATCTCATTTTGCATGAAAATGACTCAATTGACTAACACTTTTGTGGAACTCTATCATCGTAATTTCTTCTCAGGGACCGCTTTTATTAATTAATTATTGTATGGTCCCTTCAGCTAATTATCTATGCTGTAAAATTCCTATGCGTTTAAAGCCCACATGAGACGTGCAACATCATGTGACGATACTTGTCTGTTTTTGCAACAGGACTAATTTTTCTCCTGAATTAGTTCAGAGTTGATCCTACGGGGTAACTTTAAAAGAAAACTAGTCCCGTTTCCTAAAGTTTAAAAAAAAAAAACTAGTTAAGTTCTAGCTTAATTTTTGCCAAACTAAAATCAAGTATTTTGAACCAAACTTGTATCACTAAAATTATTTCCGTGGAGATGCTAAACACAGCCATAGTCTTAGTTAAGTAAAGTTCTCAAACTATCGGAAGAAGAAGATTAAAGATTGGTGAATCATATAAACACGATGAGAAATTACTCAAAAAATTATCCTCATGAAACAGGAATATCATACTGGGGGAAAAAACCTAAATTGCATGTTCTAAAAAATTATAAGGGAATGTTATATTTTCCCCAATAATTTTATTCTTTTAGGAGTACGACTAGGAATATGCACATGCATTATTATAGTTTACTAGTTTGCGGTCCGTGCAGAGCACGGTATTTTTTTTTGCTACAGTAATCCCGCTTTTTAATATACATGGTTTGAATTTTTGGAAGTGCTACAGTATCCCGCTCTGCTACAGTGCCTTTTAAATGTTACAGTATACCTGTGTGCTACAGTAGCATTTTTTATTAATTACTAGCTACAGTAAGCATGCTACAGTAAACTGTATTATTTACTGTAGCATGAATAGTGAATCTCTGATCCTCCTATTTGTATAAAGGAATAGATTATGAGAAGTGTTATTTCCAGAAACTTGATTGCACTGTCCTACCAATCAATTTATGAGATAACACGGTAGCTAGTCATGTAACAAGACTTGTCTATCATTGAATTTTCTGAGTCGTGCAATCGTATCATGTTCTGCATTCCTCATCGTTACAAAGTTTTGACGTATATAGTTGGATAGCCTTTAAAGTAACATCTGAATGACATACATCATTAGCTTAATTACATATCCAAGTTTGATATAATAGAAAGAAGTATAAATTGCGGACAAACTCACTCACATATACTTTCAAGGGATTTTTTGTCTTTAAACCAAATGCTCTACTGCAATTTCCTCATGAACCCAAATTACATGAAACTTATATATGTCTTAGCCCAAATAGCGTATGTATACTAAAAAGTATACATTTGAAACTGAAATACCAAATATGTCCCCGTCTTCCTCCTTCATCCCTCTCTTTTCTGAGCAGGGTACGTTACGAAACTCCCCTCTAGCCTAAGATTTGAGAATTATGAATACCGGTATGTAGGTTGCTAAAGTGTAATGAAAATATAAATATAAGAACATCTGCAGTTCATCATATAAAAAAATTGAAGACAAATATATGCAAAAATGACATTCATTAAGAGATCAATCTTATTACAAGTGTACCTTGCTCATCACCAACTTATTCCAATCTTTCATTACATCCAACAACTCAAGTCCACAAACACACGCAAAATTTAAACTATGATCCTCCTACAAATTGACTAACACACAGCCAAATCCTCGCCAATTACTACTCTCGTCTTACAATTAACATTACTACTAAAAATGATCAACAAGAGAAAATATTCACTGCTCCAATCCACTGTCAACAAGTAGACATTCTTTTGTTGCATCATTAATACAATAGAACAGAATCACTAGATACTTTTTGAACCACTAGGCGCTATCACAATCAACATGCTAACATCTAGATAGTTCCACAATCAACAGGGCTAACATCACTTGGTGAAGTTCTTAAGCGCCGCGTGGGGCTCCGCGGCCTTTGCAGCTGGCGTGGGCTCTGCTGTTGGCGACGGAGGAATCGGAGTACCAAGAAGCTCCTTAGGGAGATCAGGGATCCCCTTGAGCTCAAAAGTATAGAAGAGCTTAAATGGGAATACGATCTGCTGCAACTTCACCTGACCATAGACGCCCTCAAAAATGCCTGATCCACCGGTGACAGCAAGGTACGTTTCCTCGTACGTCAGGTACGGTCCTTGAACCGATATGTGACCATAGTCTCCGAAATAGAAGCTGTAGATTGCTTCGTATCGGTCTCCGTTTCGTTCAGGCACGTGCTGGATTAACACACACAGGCCTGCTGTGATTCCAAGGCGTTTCTCTAAGTTACCGTGGTAGAGCTGGACAATTGAGTAGCATTTGTTAGAAGAGGGATTTTATAAGGGTGTTGCTACAGGGACCCCAAAAAATGGTCACCCGTGGGGTGATTTACTGTTCATGAGCAGTAAATCGCCCCACCATGAGGTGACACCTCACATGTCCCCTCAGGGTCCTTTTTTTTTGGGGTCCCTGAGACATTAGTCATTTTATAATTAAAATTGTAATTTATCATGATACATCTTCAATCACTTGAGAATAAAATCATGTGGATTTAGGAGATGTAAGTGCTAACCAAATAGTTTAGGGGCATAAATGGCTATACAGGAACAGTAGATGGAGTATATTTCGTATTTAACCCTCTTTTCCAATTTACTTTTAATCCATATTAAATTATGGTAAAAAAAAATAATATTTAGTGGTAATAGATTATCGTTTGAGTACATTGAAAATATTCACTACACAAGGTGTCTCATGTAAACAAGATATACACATAATATCATCTTTGTCAACAACAATAACAACACCAACTCTCTGATGTCAAGTACTTAATTCGTTTATAAATTACCCTCCTCCGGACAAAGATCAATCAATGCGAAGAGCACAGACTAAGTAATAGGACAAAGTTAGATCAATCAAAAACTAGATCAATCAATGTTAATAGTGCCTAATAGACTAATATCACAAAGGAAAAAAAATGAAAATAGGCTGGCAACCCATTTGAGAAAATAGACCACAGTTATATTTTGTCAAAACGGAAAGCACTGTAATTTAAATTTACAATTGTCTAGATATCATTAAACAATTATAATTGAGCATGTGGACTCCCCACTACCAAGTTTAGCTTCAAATAAACAACACACCCAAAAAAAATAGTAATATAATACCGGCATGCCAACAATTCTTTTAAAACTCTTGGCTGCTTTTTAACTACATACAGATGATGGAACAAAATAATGCAAATTGAAGTCGTTGATCAAAGGGGTTATGTGCGAAAATTCAGAAGCTTGCCTTGTTGCTGAAGGGAACTAAATCTCCAAGAGTGTTCGTAGGCTGCTGGCTCAATCTCAAATAAGCAGGGCTCCCTCTATCTCCCTCATTAATCTCATAAACATGCAATTTCTGGACTTTGCCTGTTGATCAATTAAATAACAAATGAATCAACCATCAATCACACTAACCAATACCCAATTAATGAAAATTAATCAAAACTTACTCGGCCTTTCAGAATCCTTCGAAGCTTTAGTGGAAAACAGAGAAGCAGTAACAGGGTTCTTTTGAGAATTAGTTTCCAATCTGGATTTTTTTGAACAGATGGAGTTGAGTGATCTCAGACTTAGATTTTGCGAGAACTTTGAGAGGTTTTTCTCTGAGTTTGGGAGCTTGGAGGAGAGAGAAGAGGAGACTCTGAGAGCTGAAGAAGTTGTTGCCATGATTATTACTTGAGAATGAATGAAGAGTTTGGGGGAAACGGAGAGCGTGGGTGGCCTTTTATTATCGAAGTTAAGACGCGAGGGGCAAATTTAAAAGGTTAGAAAGTGGTGGACTAAAATGAAAATTGTCGCCTGATTGCACGGTAGGGTGAGCGGTCTAAACCTATAACACCGGCAGACATGGACCCAATTCGGACCGTTTGATTCGTTTCTATAACGTGCTTCAATTTGTTTCGACTCAAAAATGTTTCAGTGCAATTAATTCAAATTTTTCTTTCAATGATTTACAAGTTTTGTCCGTAAGCTAAGGGGTTGTTTGGTTCGCTTAAAAGGCCTCTGGAAACCCATTTCTGCGTCTGACATTAAGGTCACATCGGATTTTTTTTTCTCCCGTGATTCTTTTCGTGGGTTTGGTTCGTCAGGGAGAAACATGAGTGAAAACGGCACCACCTCAGACTTTTTTCTCTCCCCGACTACCTTCCCCAACCGAGAGAAATCGATGAAAACCCTGGCCACTTCTGACAATTGCTCTCTCGTTTCTCTCCTTGATTTCTTTTGTGACACTAGGGTTACCTCATTGCTCTCCTCCCGTCAGAAATATCCTGCGGCCTTCTTTGTCACTATCTTCTTGTTCGTCATCTTCGTCTTTCGCCTGAATTTCGTTCTTGATTTTCATATTTATCAAGCATCAGTTCCTCAAAATTATTTTTTTACTGGATCTTGCTAAAAAGGCATCGGTTTTATTGAAAAATTTGGGTTTTTTCGCAGTTTTTTTGGTTGGATCTTGTTGTTCGGCGATCTAAGGTATGATTTCTACTCGAAATTTTGAAAGATTATGATTTCTGCTCATTTTCTATAATTAGTTGAAATTATCTACAATTATCTAAAATATTGTGAGTTCTGCTCATTTTCTATAATTATCTGAAATTATGTGAAATTATTCACAAAGTTTAGTTAAAATTATCTGAAATGTTTAGTTGAAATTATCTAAAATTTTCTATAATTAGTTGAAATTTGGATCTAAGGTATTTTTGTTGAAATTTGTATGTTGAAACTTAGAAATATTTAGACGATAAATGAAAATTTTCATGAAAACTGATCGAAAATATCTGAAATTATCTGCAATGTTCATTTTAGAAAATATTGTGATGAAATTTTGCATGTTCTTTTTTTCTTGTATGTCCCAAGTGAAACTTTCGTTTAATTTAAGAACGATATTCATTTATTGTAATATATAGGAAGTATTTATATGCCTTCGTATTGTAATATTTACCTTTCATGATGTGAATGTTGTGGAATACTAACTTTTACATTGAAATTGTAACTGGAGGAACTTTATAAGTCACAATACAAACATGACAATTGATAAAATTTTCTGTGACGCAAGCATCCTACAATGTACACGCATTGTATTTGATGGCTATTGTTGTGGGTTATTAAGGTATTCGGTTGTCATGACACGAGTTTACTTTGGTGACTTTTTTACTTTTAGGCTATGATAATTGTCAAAATTTCTGAGATTAGCAACATGTAATATCTATTGATATTGCACTGGATGGCCAACAATGATGATATTGACCAAGTTCTCAGCCCTAAGCGATAATTTGCATATACTCGTGCTTGTATTATACATTTCCTTTATATGTTTATACATGGATAATTTGCATATACTTGCCTTTATTTCCTTTCATTTTCATTGTTTCCTTTTATGTGGTTTTTTGAATTATTGTGGTGTATTGATGTATCATGCGCAACAATGTGCACACGTCAGTTTAGTGTTTGTGAGACTGTCTCGTGTTCAGTGGGTGGCTAATAATGATGTAATATATTGCATTGGATAGCTATGATGATTGTCAAAATTTTCTCGTGTTCAGCCCCTTGGTATTTTCTCGTGTTCAGGCAATTTTGTTTAGGCTATGATGATTGTCAAAATTTCTGAGATTAACAACCTGCAATATCTATTAATATTGTACTGGATGGCTAACAATGATGATATTTATCAAATTTTGAGCCCTCGGTCATTACGTACATGTTTGGTATTTCCAGGTATGATGCGATTTGCTATGTTATATACATATTTATAGCTAATCAGGTTGTTTATATGTTTTTTATAGGTTTCATAAAAAATATGGCTAATTCAGGTACATATTTCATAAAATTATGAATAAGTAGGGTATTACAGGTCTTGATTATTTTCTTCTTGGAAAACAAGTTTCGTGTGATTTTTTTTTCATCTCAAAGAGAGATGTTTCAGGTCAAATCAGATACATGGTTCATAGCGATTGATTCATGTTATTTTAGGTTTCGCATGATTTTTTAAGTCAAATAGATATTTCTAATGAATTCGAGAAATTACGATTTGTTCATGTTACATTCGCACTTTTATTTTGTTAAGATTAGTTCTCATAACGATCACAAATAAATTTGTCTATAGTGAGGGGTAATCTTACCATGGTGATTATATATAATTTTTACTACACTTCAAAACCAACCAAACACAAGAAAAGTGGGAAATGACAAACCAACAAAAGTTTTTCTTTTTTTTCGTGCGAACCAAATACAAGAAAAGTCAATACATTGGTTTCCCATCATATTTTATGTGTGAATCAAATTAAAACAATCTATTTCTTAGAAAAATTAAAAAAACTCAAAACTTGTGTCTTTTGACATGGAATTGCATGTTCCTATATATAGGAAACGAACCAAACAGCCTCTAAAGTAACTCTTTTTTTTAAAAAAACTGAGTGAGTACAAATTTAAGCTAAGTAGACCGTAACGAATCGGACCAAACTACTTTTGTTCAAATTGATTCTTTTTAATATTAAGTTCAATTTGATTTGCTCGAAGTTGATCGAGACTGACGATGGACCAGAAGAGGACCACAGCCCACAAGGCGTGACAAATTGACCGTTCTAACCTTAAGCACGTTGGGAAAAAGAATGAGTCGCATAGAGATTTGTGTGCGTTCCCACGTGGACCACGCATGGTCATTGATCTGGAGAGGTGGAATGTGGGTCCCAGGCTGATGTCGTGTCTTCTCGTGGTCAGTAATAGAAACCTAGTTAACTTTTATAACTTTGACTGATAGACTGAAAATGCTTTCCACAATGTGAGTTCTCGAGCCACGCATGCACCTGCCCCCAGTAATTCACCCATATTAAAGATGGGCCCACAGTTAGGTTAGAGTTAAACTCGGACGTTGCCTCACACGTTTTGCGTTTAAAGTCCTTGTTTCCTCAAAAAATTTCAAAAAGTAAAAAATAAAAAAAATAACAATAATAATAATAATAAATTGTGATTATTTGGACGGTGACTCTTGTTTATTCGCTACCGTGGAAATTCTTAATTCACAAAATTTCGAGTAACCTATGAAGCGGGGCGAGTATAAAACAATTAGGGATTTAGGGTACTAATTTAAAAATATGAAAGATGTAGAATACCAATATGTATAAAAAGATGAACTAATTTAGTAACGCACGCAATCGATAGTTGTTGTTGCTGCTGTTATTATTATTATATTAAATTTTAGTAGGAAACGTGAGTAAACTTCAAGAATTCTAGAAGACTAGAACACTTAGGAGTCTTTGTGCAATTACAAGGAAGATCACACAACAATACGAGACAAACACAGAATAGAAAGCATTGAGGTCAATTTGTTGGACTAATTAACCTCATAAAACATATTAGGGTTCTAGGTTAATGGAAAGAGCTATTCCAACCGCCCGAGTCGTCTATTTGACTAGAATCCAATCTAATATTTTGCACCCCTCGTGCGTTATAAAAAAGAGGGATGCTACAGGCACATCTCCGGCCACACCATCAGCCACACCCCCTCACCTGCTACAGTGCAGGGGGCCTCACTTGAATTTTTTTAAAAATTTTCAAGTGGGGCCCCCTACACTGTAGCAGGTGAGGGGTGTGGCTGGTGGTGTGGCCGGAGGTGTGTCTGTAGCATTTTTTTTATAAAAAAACAAAAAAAGAAAAGAATATCTCTAATTAAAGTTAAAAAAAAGTCCATGGCAGATGAAGAACCGTAGGTTAGTAATCTAATAGAGTGTGGAGATATCAACTCGCTTTTGGCGTTGTGATGGCGATCTAATGCTTGATTAACAAAGGGTCACGGTATTTTATTTAGCATGTTTGCTTTGTTGTGAATATATATTTTGAAAGCGGAAGGGGCAGCAAAAAAACAAAAAAAAATTGATGCTGTTGTGAATTTTTGAGTCGGTGGTCAGCATGACAGCCAAGATCCAACCTTTGAAGTCCTTTTTACCTTCCGACAAAAATATTCTCTTTTTTTGAAGAAAAGCTGGAGCATTAACTTATGATTCTTTGACATGAGATGTCGTAAATATATATGTGGATTTTTTTTTGCACAACAGTTTTATTTATTTATTTTATTTAATGCTGCATCCGAAACATGAGCATAAATACAGTCGCACAATTTAACAAAGACAAGGACGTAATTCATATACTGAAGCATGAATTTTCATTGTTCTTGAAATTTTTTTTTTTTTTTGAAGGGGAAAGTGAGGGGGAGAGGGGGAAGTTGCTAAAATGTCAGAATTTTGACAGCTTTCTCCTAAAATCGCCTCTTTGCCCTTTAGAAAAAACCGAACCAAACAGCCCCCCAGCTATATTGTTCACGAGAATAGTACGTGAGGAGTATTTGTCAGATTGGTATAAAAATTAAACTTATATGATGATGTACAATAAGTTCTCAAGTCCAGTTGAAGGGAGTAGATTTTGGGACGTGGACGGAGAAGAGATGGTGTTGCCTTCTAAAATAGTAGTGAAGAGGGAAATGGGGCGGGCAAAAACAGCTAGAACAAGGGACCACTCAGAAGAAGGGTCAAGGACCGGCCAGTGGCCACCACCAAGGCATCAATGCAAGGAATGCCAATCAATCTCAAGTGCGGCCATTGTGGAACATTAGGCCACACAATAAGAAAATGCCCTACAGCTCCACCACCATCTGAAAAGGCAAAGAAATAGACAAGCAGAGACAAACAAGTGGTTCATTTGTATTTGGTTCTAGTGTATTTGCGATATCTGATATCTATGTTCTCATGCATTTAACTTTATGTACAATTCAGATTCAGGGAGGATCGTAAGCATCTGATGTTGGCCCAATTCATCAAATAAGAAGAAGAAAAAAAGGAAGACCCGAGAGAAGCAAAAATATAATTAGGTCACTTGAAAGCTTGTCAAGAACCAATACCCTCAGTAGAGACTCAATACTAAGAGAGAGGAGAGCTAATGTTGTTAGAGGAAGGGGAGGAGGCAGAGACAGAGGACTCGGAGATGTAGCAGAATCACAAGCTAGAGGAGGCATGTTGGATTATTTTAACGATCTAGACATGAAAATTTGAACTAGAAATTCAGATTAAAGTTACCGTTCACCGTCGAAAACAATGGAAGTCTTCTCATCTCTCCTCTCGTAGCCAACGATGGAAATTTGGTCTCTTTTCTGCGTACGGTTGAGAGGAGGGACTCCCACGTTTAAATAGATATTTGTGATTAACCCTACCCATCATGGTTTAATCACAACCGTGAGATTACACTCCGATCGGTCCTATCATTTAGATATTCAAGATAACCACCAAACTTGATAAATATGAAACTGTCTAACCAGACCATGTGGTTAACATCCTGATCCTAACTTGAATCGATGGCAACTTAAATCAAATCCAAAATCGAGTAGGTTGGGCCACATGTGTTCGTTGGATTAATCGAACCCAACAATCTCCCACTTAGCACAACATACCTCATTTTAATTTTAAAAAACATTTAAAATTTTAAAAACTTTTAAAGTCGGGTGCGCACCCATTTATTTTAGAAAACAATTTGTTGCCGTGATTCTAATTAGGATAGTTTCTGAAACCTTTTCCTTAAAACAAAAGTACCACTAATGGTTAATTGTGAAAACATTATATGCTCTAATATGGCACAAGGTCACTCCACGGTCCAACCACTAGTACCGCTAATGTTCTAAATATATTTTCTTTATGGTGGTTTTAGTGGAATGTAATAGAGTCGTACATCCCTTATGGTCAAATCCGATGTACTCCCTTAAGTGTCCTCTGCAACATACACAAACGTGTATGTCATTCTGAAACTTTTATCGGCATCCTCCGTGTGAAAACCATCACATTTAGTCTAAAACAAAAGCCTCAAATATGATGCCCAATCACATTCAGCTTCTGCACAAATTTAAGAGTATCTTTACTTTAACCTTTATGACTTCATGGACCACTATCTTTAATTCGAGTTTCTTTAGGATTAACTTGAAACTCTTTACTTTAAACTTTAGTTTTTTCTTTACTTTAAAAATATATATATTAAGCAACAATGACCAATTACATAATGCTTGAAAATATCAAATTGCTAACAAAATCAACATAATAGTTTCTTTATGAGCTCAAAGCAATCCAGAATATAGTACTTGAAAATAAAACAAAACTACTACTACAACTAAATCTCACTGATCATATAGAATCTAAAGACTCTAAAACACCCATACTGGATACATGTTCCTTGAAGAGCCCTGGAGAAATTCCCTTGGTCAAAGGATCAGCAATCATCAACTGAGTCGGCAGATGAGGAGCCTCAATCAATCCTTGTTCGACCTTATCAAGGACTAACAAGTATTTCACAACGATGTGTTTATTCCTGTTGGAAAAGTTCTTGTTCTTTACAAACTGTACGACTGCCTGATTGTCACAATACAACTTTACTGGTCTCTGAATGGAATCCACCACCTTTAATTCACTGATAAAATTCTTAAGCCAAGAGGCATGCAATGTTGCTTCAAAAACAGCAACATATTTTGCCTCCATAGTGGATATCGTCACTAAGGACTGCTTGATACTTTTTCATAAAACTACTCCTCCAGCAAGCAGAAATATATAACCTAATGTTGATTTCCTGCTATCAGCACATCCTGCGAAATCTGAATCTGAATAACCGATGACTTCTAGATTTTCAGACCTTCTGTAGACCAACATGAAATCCTTGGTCCTCTGCAAATACCGCAAAACCTTCTTTACAACTTTCTAATGAGCTACACCAGGATTTTGTTAAAACCTGCCTAATATTCCCATGATATAACTGATGTCTGGTCTGATGCATGACACTGCATACATTAGACTACCAACTGCAGAGACATACTCCTCAGAGTTCACGAGCCTACGCTCAACGTTATTTTACGGGTATTGAGATTTGTTGAACATATCTCCTTTGACAACTGGAGCTTCACCTGGTGCACAAAACTTCATGCCATATCATTGAAGGACTTTCTCAATATAAGCACTTTGAGATAAGCCCAACAAGCCTTTAGTCTGATCTATATGGATCTTGATGCCCAAAACATAATGAGCATCTTCGAGGTCTTTCATATTGAAATGCCTCGAAAGAAAATCCTTAGTTTCATGTAGGAGATGAATATCGCTGCTGACAAGAAATATATCATCTACATACAATACTAGAATGAGGAATCGGCTCCCACTAATTTTGAGGTATATGCAGTGATCAACAAGATTCTCTCGGAAGCCATTTGATGTTATCACTTGATAAAATTTTAAGTACCACTGTCTGGAAGCCTGTTTGAGACCATATATTGCCTTCTTCAATCTGCAGACCAGATCTCCCTTAACTTCAAATCCTTCAGGCTGCACCATAAAGATTTCCTTATTCAGATATCCATTCAAGAATGCTGTCTTGACATCCATCTGATGGAGCTCAAGATCAAAATAGACGACGAGAGCAAGAACTATCCTAAGAGAATCTTTCTTAGATACCGAAGAAAAAGTATCAACGTAATCAATCCCTTCTCTCTACTTGAAACCCTTGGCCACTAGCCTGGCCTTGAATCTCTTAATGTTTCCTTCAGAATCCCTTTTGGTCTAGACTCATTTGCATTCCATCGCTCTAGCTTTGTTCGGCAAAGGTACCAACTCCCAAACATAATTCTTTTTCATTGACTAAAGCTCTTCTCCATAGCCTTCAGCCAATCAGCTACATGAATGTTGTCTCTAGCTTCTGAGCATGATAAGAGATCATCAGATTCTGGATCAATGCATCCACTTTCCTAAAGATAGACCTCATAGTCGTCAGGTATGGCAGATCTTCTGACTCTAGAGGACCTTCTAACAGGTTATGTCTCTTCCGTAGGAACAAAAGTTTGTTGAACCGGAGAAGGAGGTGGAATGCTATCTGGAAGAGTTGGGAATCTAGAGATGACATCTAATAGCAAAGCGACTGCTCATCTTCTAAAACTTCCTCAAAACTTAGACCACAAGGTTCTGAAGAAGCATTATGGTCTTCCAGAAACTCGGCATGCTGTGTCTCGAAGAACTGGATAGACCGAGAAGAACAATAGAACTTGTAGCTCTTAGATCTTGCAGGATAGCCGATAAAGCGACATGACACTGTTCGGGCTTCTAATTTCTTAATGTCTGGATTATAAGGACGTGCCTCCGCTGGACATCCTCAAACACGCAGATGACCAAGACTAGGATCCCTACCAGTCCAAAGCTTGAACAGGGTCTCAGCTACTGCCTTACAAGGGAGACGATTGATGATATATGCAGCTATCTTCAATGCCCCACCCCCAAAACTTTCAGGCAAATCTGAATGACTCATCATGCTACGAACAGCATCTTGATAAGTACGATTTCTTCTTTCAGCTACTCTATTTTGTTACAGAGAATCTAGGAGAGTGTACTGAGAAATAATGCCTTATGACCTCAAGTACTCAATGAAGGGACCATGATTTGTGCTGTCCTGATCGCTTTTACCATAGAATTCATCATCTCGATCAGAACGCACAGATTTAATCTTTCTTTCTAACTGTTTTCAACTTCAGCTTGAAAGATCTTGAAAACATCCAGTGCCTCATATTTGTGGTGAAGAAGAAAAATACAAGCATAGCGCGAAAAATCATCTATAAAGGAGATGAAGTATCGCTGACCACCAATGAGATGAAGTATCGCTGACCACCATGAAAGGGAGTGGAAAAGGTCAACAAATATCTGTATGAATAAGGTTAAGGAGACCTTCACTCCTAGTGGCTTTAAATTTTCTCAATTTAGTCATCTTTCCCTTGATACAATCAACACAAGTACCAAAATTAGAGAAATCTATTTGTTCAAGAACACCAGACTTTACTAAGGATTTCAATCGCTTTCTTGAAGCATGTCCCAATCTCTGGTGCCAATGTATGGAAGAATTGTTATTAAGCCTAGGACACTTTGTACCGGAAGAAGATGAATTCACAGTCATACATAGAGAAGAAGGAAAAGATGCATCCAGATTTAATCTATAAAGACTGTCAATTAAGAAACCATGTTCGATAATATCCAAACCTTTTCTGATAAAACATAATTGTTCTAAAAAACAAAGCTATAACCAGATCCAGAAAGTCTAGAAACTGAAATAAGATTCCTTCTTATAGAAGGTACATGGAAAGTGTCTGATAAAACTAAGGAAACTGCAGAATCCAAGCGCAGACTGAAAGTCCCAACGAGCTTCACCTCCAAAGGCTGTGAGTTTCTCAAAAAAAGCTGCTGATTTTCCCTTGCCTTCCGACTGTGGATTATTCCCTGTAATGAAGTTGAAATATACACAGAGACACCAAAATTAATCCACCAAGAATTTGAGGAAACATCAACTAAATATGTTTCACAACAAACATGAACTAAATCCCTACCTCCCTTCTTCTTCAGCCACTGCTTATAGTTCAGACAGTCTCTCTTCATATGACCAGGTTTCTTGTAGAAGAAACATTCAACATTTTCTCTTGCTAAAGAAGTGCTAGAAACAGTGGAAAATTTGTCAAAAGACTTCTTCCCCTTATTGTGCCCTTGATTCTTGAAGGATTTTTTTCCTACCTTATTTGGTCCAAGCTTGCCACGTGCCAGATTTGTCATCTCAGCTTTTCCTATTTTTGGCCGTTCTTTCTTAGCAACACATAGAGCAATAAGCTCATTCAAGTCCTATTTCCTATCTTGAGAACTGTAGTTCACCTTAAAAATATCAAATTTGCTTGGTAGAGAAGCAACTACAAAATGAACCATCAGATCATCCTCTAATTGAAGTGCCAACTCCTTGACGAATGATCAACTGAGAGACCTTCAAAATGTGCTGACGAACATCACCACTTCTATCATATTTCAAATTAATGAGTTTGACCAGATAACTTTGCTGTCTCGCTCTAACGGATCCTTCAAACTGCTTCTTGATGGTCTCAATCAACTCTTTAGCAGTTTCGCAAGCCGGAATCCTTCCACGAAGAGTCTGGTCCACCGATGCTCTAATGATCAGCATGACAAGCTTGTTGGATTTGACCCACTGAGCATGAGATTTCTTTTCAGATAGACTTGATGACTCATCAGGCTCTTCTGGCTTATCTTCAGTGAGAACATAGTTGAGATTTCTTTTCAGATAGACTTGATGACTCATCAGGCTCTTCTGGCTTATCTTCAGTGAGAACATAGTCGTAGTCAAGACACCCAACTTATCTTCAGTGAGAACATAGTCGTAGTCAAGACACCCAAGTACTATTTTAACTTGCATCTTCCAGTTGTCATAGTTGGAACCGGTGAGGAGCTCATTCCCAATCAAATGCTTCTAGATAAACTGTCTATCCATCTACATTAAACCATGGATGTATAAATTAAATGAGCCCTTTAATTTTATTAACTTTAACATTTCCACATCCAATTTAGGGTTAGAATGGATGGATCAGAGTGTTTTACGTATGCAACCTTCCACTCTACTGGACAGACGGGTGCATCATCTCATCACACCTTTGGGCAAGTGAATTGACATGCTATTCTCCCCCCCCCCCCCAATGTGATATATAATCACCTACAAGACTAGCCTACACAGCGTTAGTTTGATTTGAATACTTCCTAACCTTTGGGCAATAGGGTTATTCTCTTCTGACTGACATGTTTCAACTATCTTGCACCACTTATTCTGTAGGGGTCCTAGACATCTTTAGGCAAGACTAGTAGTCCACCAACAGGTAAGTGCAACCTTCCAGTCCAATTGAGACTAAACTCAACCTTAGAAAATTAGGGTATTATAGGTTTATCACCTTTGGGCAAGACACTAACCTACTCTATCATAATTTCTAAGTGACTATTTTACTGATCTTCCTTAACCCCATAGGTTGATCTAATACTATAATCCATTTTATCAAGAACCTAAATATTTATCCCACCTGAATTAAGGATACAATCAGGGTAAATCAATTATCTTTATGTGCATACAATAATTTTTTATGAATTGTCCAAATTCCTATATTAAAACTTTATGAAATAAAAATAAAACTATATACTTGAAAAATATACAAAACGATCTTTCCAACGACTATTTGTGGGCTCAAATCGGACTTGAAACGGATCTATAGCGACCAAAACAAAATGAATGGTCAAAAGTGTAATGGTTCGGGTCTGAAAATTAATGGGTCTGACCTATTTCATAATGGGTTGGGTCAGAATTTTATGGATCCAATTTATTACTGTAGCGGGTCGGGTCCATTACATACTGGATCGGGTCTAGGTTAATGGGTTATAGAGTTATATAACTCAAATAATAAATAGTAGTTAATTATACTAATTAATCTAAATATTTACTAATTAAATTAATTAACTAATTAACTAAAACCCTAACCCAAAACCCACTTAGAAGGCAGGACTGCCCCCGCATCAACCAAAACCACTACAACCCAGCCCTCCGTCGCCGGTCGCATCCCCGCCGCTCCGCATATTCTTCCGCGAGGAGCGAACCATGGCCATGGCTGCAGAACTTTCGCCAGCATGGCCCATGGCCGCAGACTTTTCAGCAGCCATGGCCCATGGCCGAGGGCAGCAGTTTGCCATGCATACAAAAAAATAATAAAATATTTTACATCAGTTTGCCATGGTTGCTGCGGCCAAGGTATAATGTTTATTGTGGCCATGATTAAAAAATTTGCTGCGAAAAAGTTCTGTAGTCATGGCTGCGAGGTAACTTTAATCTGAATTTCTAGTTCAACTTTTCATATCTAGATCGTTAAATAATCCAACAAGGCAAGGATCAGGGGTAGAGGGAATAAAGTTAGAGTTCCTGATCCACTAAGTTTCTTAGCCATTGATGATCACTTGATTGAGCTGCTTTGTGGATGACCCACTCCGTTAAACTTGATCTACATATTCTAAAACCCCAACACACCAAATTTGGGGTGAACCCATCGTGGTTTGACCCTCCGTCAAACCATGTAAAAAGTTCTATTCATTTGAAACCGTTAAAATTGATACGAGTGGATGAAGGGTCAAACCATGACGGATTCAACCCAAATTTGGTGTGATGGGGTTTTAGAATATGTAGATCAAGTTTAACGAATCGGATCATCCACAAAGCAGCTCAATCAAGTGATCATCAATGGCTAAGAAACTTAGTGGACATCCACTTAAGTTGACACAAGTTTTACTCTCTCTCTCTCTCTATTGATTTAAATTTAACATTTAAGCCAATAACATGCCCTATTAAGGCATTTCTCCACAATTGTTCCCCTTCTTTCTCTTCATCAATAGTAAAAGAGGTAGTTTTTGATTGGGAAGATGGTATGTAGCTCAGAGGCAGACCATTACCTGATTTCCTGTTATCAGCAAACAGGCTTGCGAAGGTTTTTCTAGGTATTGGATCAGGTTTTTCCATATTATCATTAGTACTATTAGATTTATCCCTTTCTTCATATTTCAGTTTCCCAGAAGATACTGAATCAATATTAGACTTAGCACTCTCATTTACTAATTCATCAGAATTAATTTCCACAGTTTCAGTCAATGGAACAGTAACAACATCAGAAATAACTCTTGAAATCTCTTGATCTGAGCTAAGAACACTTGTGGATTTAGATTTTAAAGCTTGGGAAAAAGAAGAAACAGGGGGAATCACCACCAATTCGACCTCATCAGCCCAGGAGGCCCTAGATGAGCTGCCGACTCCATTTCTGAGATATTGAGCTTGAATTCCTTCCAGTCAAGAAATCTGTAGATCTTAGGATTTCCTCCATTGATTTCTTCATCCTCTCTCCTTTTGGACCTGTCGAGCCCATTACATCTTCGCTGAGTTCATCATCATCTTCCACAAGATTAGTATCAAATTGATCCTCGAGAGCTTGCGAACAAGAGCTTTTAGATCGCAGAGCAATAGTGAGTATCTTTCTTCCACTTCTATTCTTCTTCTTCGCCATTAAAAACTAAGCAGGGGCGTAGGATAGAGGAGAGTAGATCGCCCGCTAACTTGCGCCTTCAGACATCCTGCTCCTTTTAACCTTAAATTGCCTTAACGTTACCTTCATCATCAGTATAGGTTCTTTTTACAAACTATCTTTGAATCTTGCTGATATGTCAATGACGTGGTGGGATAAACTTCTAATTTCACTAATTTTTTATTGATGTGATAGAGTTGTAGTAGGAAAAACATGAATTATCAGTTATTTTCTTTTTGCTGCCTGGATAGTGAGTTGGCAGAGCTACGTCATGCTACTTCAGCAATATTTAGTGAAAGTTTGTAAAAAGGACTTAGAATGGTGATGTATGTAATGTTAAGGACAACCACTAAAGACTTTGAAACATTAAGGACCTAGGCGATATTTGACTGATACATCAGATACCTCCACAGAACTTTTACCAAAGAATAAACTAGATTCTTTTTGGAATTATATGTTAAAAGTTTTAATTCTTTAAAAAATTTTCCTAATCAAATTTTTATTCTAAAACCACTCTCAGTCTTAGAACCTATTGCACCATTTTAATTATTTAATTATCTAGATTAATGATGATGTAATTATAAATTGAATGCAAAATTGTTGATTTCGAGTAGGAGACCATTCTGATAGAGTTGTGGTGCCTAATGAATTGTGTGCGTTCTCTCTTGTAGCTGTAGCTTCATCAAAAGGGAAAAAAGTCAATGCATGGCTGTGAGATGTAGTCAATTGCCAAATCAAGTAAAAAATCGATGTTTTTTTGTTATCATCTTTTCTTTCTTTCTTGTTTTATCTCTCACTTATAGGAGATTACATTCCAAGGAAAACCATATGAATAGAATGGAATTGTGGGTCTGGACCATCTCCACGTTGATTAGGATAGTTGGACTGTGCGGTTGTGCCTAATTTGGTCAGCACGAAATAGAATTTGCTTTTTTGTTCGTCTGTTTTAAAATATATATATATATATATAGATTAATGGGTATCCTTGTCATAGGAGGGGATTTCCTCCTTGACGCCTCTAAAATCTCACATGATTGAGCGACATTATGGATGATCCGCTCCGTTAAACTTGATCTACATATTCTAAAACCCCAACACACCAAGTTTGGGGTGAACCCGCCATTAGAAAAACAAGGGGATAAAATTCCCCTTTCAGTTTTGAGCTCTTCCCTGCAAATTCCCTAAACACTAAGAACCCTAATTCCCCAGTTTTCATTCCAATTTGAACCCGCTTTCCAATGCCAAATGAACCCAACTAACTTTCACACATCATCATCTTCTGCCAAATCAGCAAGAAGAAAGAGTTTTTATACCTTAGAGAGAGTTTTTATACCTTATTCTCACTTCTTCAACTAAATATGCCTTCACTGCTAAAAAATAAGGTATCCTAGACGGAATTTTCCGTCTAGGATACTAATAATTCCGTCTAGGATGTATATTCTAGACGGAATTCCGTCTAGAATACGTGTCTAGAATGTTTCCGTCTAGGATGTAGTATTCTAGACGGAAATTCCGTCTAGAATACATTCTAGACGGAATATTCCAGACGGAATAAAAAACCGTCTAGAATACATCCTAGACGGATTATTCTAGACGGAATTTCCGTCTAGAATAATACATTCTAGACGGAAAAAATTTCCGTCTAGAATGAGTATTCTAGACGGAAATTTCCTTCTAGAATAATCATTCTAGACGGAAATTGATTTTTTAAATTTTTTTTTTAAATTTTTTTTAAAAATGCATCCTAGACAGAATTTGAGCATCCTAGACGGAATTTCCGTCTATGATACTTGCTACAGTTTTTTTTTTTTTTTTTTTTTTTTTTTTTTTTTTGTTGGGAAGATAGCTAAAAGCGTCTTACAACAGAAGTTCCAAAAATGAATATTCCAATCACAATGATATAAAAGAAACTTAGAAACATCAACTGGCTAGTGATGTCTGACTCATGTGTCAACAAAAATTTGGTAAACAAAAGCATGTTGGATTTGTGTTATCTAATACAGTTAAAAAAATCTGTTCCAAATGGTCATCCTGAAGAGATGAGCTAAAGACTCCAGGTTGCGGTCAGAGTGAGTCGATGTGCAGCATAATGTCATACCAACATAGCATATTGGTAATTAGGTACAGTTAAAAAATGCATATGCACAGACAAAAAAAGACATCTTCTGTTATTTAAGCACTTCATGAAACTTATTTAATTCCTTAAATGCTTAAGGCACTGCAAGTGACATTACAATATAACAGTCTGTTTAAATAATACATTTTAATTTCATAGCAAGTACATACTTCATTTACTCCCAATACTCATAAGTTAGCTACTAAATAAAAACAGATGTCCTGGGTTTTGATATATTCTTTAACTAAAAAACTAGGCCTAACTTGCAAGCCATAGTTAACCTAGAATTCTATTTCACAGGCTTGTATCGCTTGTGTCATCCGAAACAAGAATTCTATTTCACTTTGCAAAGTTCATGAAGCAATATTTGAGCTAATGTATAAATAACTTCAACTATAGAGCAGTATAAACAATAACTGAAAACACTTTCTACTATGCCATCATAGATGCATTGAACCAAGAGTCAACATAAAACCAAAACTACAACACCCACTCAAGCATTCTGTCAAACAATTCATGGGCATCCAAAATCCCTCATACCGAATAAACCCATCTCAAAAACTGCATTCCTGTAGCTATATTTAGGTCTAACTTGCTAATTTGATGTATAAGTAGCTATTATTTGGGTTCAAGTCGCTAATTTTGTCTAAGTTGATATAAAGTTAAGCATTTTGGAAAACAAATCATGGGCATAAAAAAATCCCCAAACCAAACAGACCCATCTCAAATCTCACATACCTCAACCGAATGAACAGTTCCATAAGGCTTGAAGAGATCCGAAAGCCTGGGGAGATTACAGACATAGAGCTCGCAGGGCTTCGCCAACTCCTTCTTATATCCCTCTTCAGGGGTCAATGCCTTCTCTTGCTCTGCAACTGCTGACGGGGGCCCAGGGAGGTGAGATTAGGGCGGCCAGGGAGTTATTTTAGGCAGGGAGTTATTTTTAGGTGAGATTTGGGGGGAAAAGAAGGGCGGATGCGGTTTTGGCGCCTTAGATATTTTTTTTAAATTTCCACGCGTTCTAGACGGAAATTTCCGTCTAGGATACATCCTAGACGGAAATTTCCGTCTAGGATACGTGGAAATTTTAAAAAAAAATAATAAAAATAAAACAACCGTCTAGGATACTATTCTAGACGGAAATTTCCGTCTAGAATGTTTTATCCTAGACGGAATATTCTAGACGGAAATTTTCCGTCTAGTTTAATACATTCTAGACGGAAAAAATTCCGTCTAGGATATTCCGTCTAGAATACGTGGTTTTCTACTAGTGCTTGTTGGTAAGATGTGGCAACTACATATACTAGTCTGGTAATTTAGCCAAAATGGAAATGGTATTATCACTATCATGATTATGTTTTTATCTAGTCTCTGAAGTAGCTAATACATTTTCTTTTATTTCAATTTCATTCAGTATAAGTTAGTTCAGATAATTGAAAAATTAATATAAAGTAAACTACTGAACCAGTACAATCTATATGTGAATTAGGATAATTATGATTTTAAGTGGATAGTAATGTACAGTAATTTTGCTTATTCTTCATTATATGTGATATAATATAATTTGCTACAGAGGGTCATCTTATATGCGTTTTGAAAGCTCAATCCCCTACAAGTTTCCTTCCTTTGAAGTGTATAAAGTTTCAAAAAGTTGTCCTCGATCCAACAGAATGGACAAATAATTTAACGTTCAAGCGATGAACTGGCTAGCTATTGTTGAAAATATCATGCAAGATTTCAAGGGATTTCAAATCCACTAAAACTAGAGCATAAAAAAAGTACACCAGCTAGCTCAAATAAACCAGGTTCATTAAAAAAATAAGAGCTCCCACAAGGAAATAACAACTATATATTAGAGCAAATCTCACCTACACAATAAAGCCTATGTAACCACCAGATTTGTTGGACTAAAAATTTTAATATTTCCAATTACCAAATAATAAAACTCTGCAATAACCAGAGGGAAGTGAAATTATACCCTGCGAACCCCTTCATGAATAATATGCAACCCTTGTCTCATAGAAGCCTGCAGCATATCAAAACCAATCAGCGATTGTATGCAGGAAATGGAATATCTCCTGAAAATAAGTGAGCTAGAAGGAAGGTATTGCCAGTACAATGAGATTTACATGTATTTTATGGAATTTTAAGAGGACATAAATTCTAGTAAAAGGTGAGTTTTTTTTTGTGTGTGTGTGTGTGTGTGGGGGGGGGGGGGGGTTGTATCTGCAATAAAATTAGGACAGAAACCAATGCACTTAATTAAGTCCATCTGTAAGATGGCTAAGAATTCTTCGATGAGGAAGTATAACTGCCACAAACTTAACTGTATACATCAACATGCATGTATGTTCTGGTAAAGATATCCTTCTTTGCTATAAAGAAAAGGTGATCTACTCGTATTCTTTATTCAGCCTAATATATGATATTTAGTATCATATTTAGAATTATGCAAACCTATTAGCATCTTAAATGATATTCTTAGTTATTAGATTTGGTACTATCACATTATTTAAGTAAATTTTGGAAAGTACACAGCTAAACCCACAAAAGCTTGTTAAACTAAGTGATAATGGTTGCATGTGTGCATTGACAACAGTCTTTTCTCAAAGAACTTCCTTAATTTCTCGTACTTCAACTATTTTAAGAAAATAATTAACAGCTCACAAACTGAGTTGAATTCTATTTGAATCAGTGTCAAGACATTTAGTCATGAAAATGATATGCAGAGTAAGTTGTGTCTACGTCTGCATATCATTATCACTTTTCATATCATTTTCAAGTAGTTGATTTCTCACAGTTCGGTGGATTCAGGCAAGTTGATCACAAGGAATTTACACAGTTCGGTGGATTCAGGCAAATTCAACATGGGATCAACTGGAAAAAAGAAGGGGGAGACATTACAAAGAGATTCTCTAATACCACTTATCTAAAGCTCATAAATGCAGATTTCTCACGAAGAAGAATAATAGAATAGTGAAAAAGTACTGCTAAATGCCTTCATTAGCTAACAGCCGAACAAACTCAGAATCACACAACGTAACACATACCTTCACCATATATAAATGCTTATGCATGAAATGAAACCTTATGAACTCTATTATTTGTGCCACAAATATAAAACATACGGGTTTCCATGCTAACTATCATTAACTCAATCATGCCATGTATTACCTAATATCAAGATACAACACCAATGTCATTATATTCAGATTAGCTCGCCAAATTTTAGGCTTTTAACATTATAAAAAATTCACCTTCTTGAATCTCAGTGACAATGAGTGGTGAAACTCCTCTAATGTTACTCCACCATTCCCCTCTCTCTAATCATCCATAGAATTATACAATATCATATAGATGTCGCACATAATTTCAGACAATATGCACGATCAGATGGAATGTTAAGCACAAATTTCTATGAAAATATTCATAAAGATATTATGCTAAGATGCTCTTTGCGACCAATCAAGTTTGCATCGTTTCTCTTAAACATCTCAAGATTAAGTATGCCTCTATGTGTAAGTCGTCTAAAAATTACTGCAGATAGCTGGTCCCCATCAAACACTAATGATGGAAGTTACAATTTGACAGCTTCCAGAAGGTTACAATTAGAAAACTTTCACATAGATTGATGAAGGTTACAATTTGACAACCTTCACAACAACCGATGAAAGCTCTAATTCAACAGTCTTCACAATCAACATCGGGAGATACAATCTGATGATTCTCATATTCCAAGGAACCAAGACGAAAATTACAAGATGACGATTTTTACAACGCTCTAGCAAAAGAGACAACAAATTGATGGTCTCTTCACATCAAAACGCAGAGGTCATTTATGCGTTACAACATCAAAACGCAGAGGTCATCCCTACGTTACAACATCAAAACGCAGAGGTCATCCCTACATTACAATATCAAAACGGAGAGGTCATCCCTGCGTTGCAACATCAAAACGCAGAGGTCATCCATGCGTTGCAACATCAAAACGTAAGGGTCGGGCCCGCGTTTTCTCTGTTTGACTGGTTCAAACAGAACCTGAACGATTTCAAAACTGTATCTTCACTTAATGGGGCCGGTTACACCCCGTTATGGAGAGATTTTAGGGAGAAGATTACACCCCTTAAATCCTTGAACGGCTTCAAAATCGTTTTTCACGAAATGAGGTCGGTTACACCCCATTAATGAGAGATTTTAGGGAACGGTTACACCCCTAAAAACCCTATAAATGACGAAAAACTCTGCTGAGTTGGGGGATCTTCGATCTGAAATTTTCGAGATCAAAACGACACAAAGGAGAAGTCGGCATTCTTCGACCAAGAGCATCCTCGGCAACAGAGAGTTCTTGGAGCTTTCATCCTTGGTTTAAAACCGATTTTCATTTCAAATCAACTCTGTTACAGAGTTTAAACTCATTCGGAGTTCTAAAACTTGTTAAAAGTTATCTTAAAACTTGTCACACAAGTTGCATTAATCGTTCCAGTGAAGTGAGATTGTCGGATCGTCAACGAGAAGCAAACTCGATGCGAGTTTCGAGGGAGGCATCACATCGCTACCGTGCAGAACCTAGTTTTAAACAAAGGCGGGGATCTCCGTCGATCCTCTTCTCTTTTGTAAATCGGGAATCCGATTCAAGAAGATTGTAATTTCTTTTTCTAAGTCTGTTAGAGGGAAATCATATCAAGAGAATTATAATTAATTTCTTTTTCTGAGTCTGTCAGAGAGAATAATACAAATTTAATTCTCTATTTTCTTATTTCAATTTTCCAACCAAACACTATGTTTACTTGTAATTGCTCGAGAGTTAAAAACTCAGGTGTAGACTTGATATTCAAAGATAATACCCTCGGTATCACGATACATATTCACACACTTGTATAAACTTCTACCAAATATTTATGAACTACCTGCGTATTTCAAAGAACCGCGCAAACAAACAAAAACTATAAAAGCTAAGATTAAGTATTGGATTCATACCAGGAAGAAAAGCAAGTAATCCGATCACAAATAAACCGTATCCCTAAGATATATCAGCATCCACGTGACAAGTGAAAACAAACAAGGCAAGCAGGAGAAAAGTTGTTCCCATCAAGAGAAGAAAAATTGCTAGAACAATTGATTTCCATGGAACTCTCTAACAAGAGCCTTAGGAGTATATTTGTACTGAATGTCACAATTATCGTTGAAATCTTCTACAGGAATTGGAGAATAATGAACTTGGCGATGAACTGCCATGGGTATTAGCAAGGTCTATTGCAATTTAATATGTTGATGTGCACTTGAGGAAAAAAATCACAAAGCAAATTTATCATGGTGCCGAATAATATCTGAAAACAAAAAGGTTTGCAACCTAAAGCACTGGTAAAAAGCAAGTCATAAACAATTCGACTTAACACCATTACTTGCATAGAAGAGGTAATAACCACATCTAGAAAAAACAAATAATGGGAGTATATATGAAGATTCATGTGCAAAAAATATATATATAAATTAACAAGTTTAAAGGTTGACCTTTACTTGAGAAATTACTAAGAAAAGTTAAAATTAAACATTTTCAGTCCTCTAAACATTCTCTTTGTGTATCAGCATCGACTTTTCTAGTACATTCATTCTCTGAACATATTCCTGACTGCTGGAAGGGAAAAAATAAAATAAAATAAAAATACAAATAAGCAGAACCTATACAATCGAATAAATCAAAGAATCGCCTTTTATTGAGATATATGTGTAAAACCCAGATATAATTTAACAATAAAAAATCGATCTTTTCAGAGATTAATTAAGAAAAATTAATATTTACTCAATCGGATCTACACTTAAATAAATTAAGAACAAATCAGGTAGAGCTACTAGAATCAGCGAAACAAAGAGGGATCGCAGAGCTCGGAGCTCAATCCGATCAAAGTTATGAGCTTTTTCAACCTAATTATGCGCATATGCAGTCAAGCAATCCAATTATTTGATCAAAGATTCTATAAACAAGAGTAAATTATTTCGGTAAAGGGAGGTATGCATCAAGTAGCAATCTTTAGCTAAATTATTGTATAAATCTGTAAACAAATTGCTAAGAATTTCATTTAAAATAAGAATTTTACTTCAATATCGCTATTTCCTCACCTTTTTGGGGATTCGAGGAAACGTGAATGATCAAATGACGGAGTGCAAAGCCCTGATTGATGAGTAAGAGAAGCTGGAGATGGAAAAAGTTAACTCTTTTTCAAGAGGCGGATCCTCGTTTCGCGTTGAAACCTCTGATTGCGGCAGGAGGAAGAGAAAGAGGGTAATTTTCATATACCCCCCGAAGCCTAATTTGAGTTACCACAAAATACTTTTTTAAAATTGTCACCTAAAACACTTGCAAAAAATTGGCGGATAAATTGAGATAACATTTTTCGTGTGGTGTGTCATTTTTTTAAGCTTTTTGGTGTTATTTGAGAATAGTTCAAATTTTAGGAAGGTTTCAATCCAGAAGGGTTGAATTGAGATTTTGTTAAAAGGAAAACTCTTCATGGACCCCAAAATAGGGACCCCTGAGGGGACGGGTGAGGTGTCAGCCCTCCAGCCCCTGGAGGGCTGATTTACCGTTCATGAACAGTAAATCAGCCTCTCAGGAGCTGACACCTCACACGTCCCCTCAGGGGTCCCTTATTTGGGGTCCCTGTAGCACTACTCTTGTTAAAATTAGTTCTTCAAGTGAGCAATTGTAACTGCAGTTGGTAATTCAATTATTTGCTTATTTTTAGTGTTTATAAGCTTATTTCTAATTTTTTTTTTAAGTGAATGAGGTTGGTTCTAGTTGCAAATATTAGAACCTCGTATATATTTAGCTAAAAAATACCGCGATTGCAACTTACGCATATCTGAACATAAGTCACAAGGGTAAATCTTGTTCACTGAGATGCAGGGCTTTAAATTTATATCTAATTACAACCAACGTACATAATACCGAAGGAAATCCGATATTAAAAAAAAAACATAATACAACTATAAAATAAAAATGAAAGAAATTTGAATCACGCACCATCAACTATAGCTGTAAGTTTCAGCGAATTTAATAATTAGCGCTTGTACTGCACTATGGAAATAAATAATAATTATATTTGAAGCAATGTTAAAATTTTCAAATTCAATAAACTAGTGTGAAGACCGTACAAAGGACTGTATATTTTTTTTTCGATGCAGTAATCCAATTTTAACTGCTACAGTTTTTTAATTTTTTGGATTGCTACAGTATATCTCCTTTGATACAGTGCTCCCGTGTGGTGCAGTAACATTTTTTAAAAAACCCAATCGGTTTCATGTTGGCTATAGTAATAATACTACGGTAAACATTATTGTAGTATTTATTATAGTATAAATAGTGAATCTTGAACTTTCCCAAAGAAAAAGATTTACTAAAAAAATAAATAATAATTATATTTGAAGAGTGCATTGTAGGACAAATTTTCAAAACCAACCTATTTACAAATTTAATCGCAGAAAACAACCTATTTCAGATTTAATTGCAAAAACCGACCTGGTTTCAGCCCTGGAGCTGAAACCAGGTCGGTTTTTGAAAATTTTTATCCGAAACTTCACGGGAGTTGAACTCCCGTGAAGTTTCGTAGTTCATTTTTTTTTTTTTTGTACTGGGAAAACTCCCGTGAAGTTTCGAAAGTTTTTTCACAAAAACCGACCTGGTTTCAGCGCCAAGGCTGAAACCAGGTCGGTTTTTGCAATTAAATACACCTGTTGTTGATTCCACTAGAGAGATAGTAATTGTGATGGTGAAACATGTTATTGCACGGTGTGGTGCATGGCAGGTTTGACATTTCTGGTTTCACCTCGGACTGCAGCCTAGTGTAAACCCAGGGGCGTCACAGTTGGTATCAGAGCTCTAGTTCCAGTATCCATAGGATCATCATATGTCGAGTCGTGGAGCTAGGTTAGAGTTTCTTAGGATTCATGTATAGAGTCCGTAAGGAATTCCTAGTATGAGCGAGGACGATATATGCGTATATCTCAAAATTTGAGAAATTTTTTTTATAGCAACTATTTTCGTATAAATTTAAAGTATTTGTGTGAATATTGTATGTTGTGAAAATCGTATGGTGATACGTTATGTATGTATATCAACTATTTTCGTATAAATTTAAAGTATTTGTGTGAATATTGTATGTTGTGAAAATCGTATGGTGATACATTATGTATATATATATATATATATATATATGTCCATTTTGACTCATGAACTCTTATTTCTTATTATCAGAGATGGC